TATTGATTTTTTGAGAGGACTTGTTGAATTTGATCCAGCCAAACGTTGGTCACCTTTTCAGGTATTGAACTTCCAGGCTAAAACCATCTATATATTTAATTCTAAAGGCTTCATGTTTTCTTGCTAGACATGATGGTTAACATCGTCTTTTCATGTTTTCAGGCAGCAAAGCACCCTTTCATAACTGGGGAGCCTTTTACATGCCCATACAACCCTCCGCCAGAGACACCTCGAGTGGTGAGTCAGATGGAATTCCTTTCCAGGTCTCAAACTTCTTTTGTTGCCTTGTTCTCATACTAATGGTGTTCATTGCAGTGGGTGTGTTGTCCTTGATTCATGTTTTTTCCCTTAATAATTTAATTTCATAATTTTCCAAACCAAATAATTATGAGATAGATGGAAGATATTTTTCGTTCTAGCACATTCTTCGTATGTTTCAACCTTTTCTGTTGTGGATAGAAATGCTTCAGTTGATAATCTTGCAGAAGATTAGCTGAAAGTTAAATGTTAATCTTTCTTGCGGAGAGTTGTGTGAAACATTTCTCTATTCACTGAATCAGTTTTTGTTCTCTTCCCTTTTGTTTGTAGCATGTTGCTCAAAATATCAAAGTGGACCATCATCCAGGTGGGGGGCACTGGTTTGCTGCTGGTCTCTCTCCTAATGTATGGTTCTTTGTCCCTTCGATTGTAACACCTTCAAGCTGTGTGTATGCACCTCTTTTTTGAAACTTATATACTTCTTTGACAGGTATCAGGGAGAACCAGAATGCCGATGCACAATAGTCCCCATTTTCAGATGATACCTTATCCACACGCAAATAGTTATGGGAGTATTGGAAGCTATGGTAGCTACAATGATGGTACTATGCAGGAAAATAGCTATGGGAGTTATGGAGGGACAGGCAATATGTTTGCATATTATTCTCCTGTGAATCATGCTGGCATATACATGCAAAACAAAGGTGGTGCCCCAATGCTTGGAACTAGTCCTGATGCCAGACGTAGGGTTATGCAGTACTCACATGGAAATGGCCTTGGCACTAGCCCATCTGCTGGAAATTTTGCACCACTACCCCTCGGCACTAGTCCTTCGCAGTTTACACCAAATACAAACAATCAATTTTTAGCTGGGTCTCCTGGACACCATGGCCCGACATCTCCAGTAAGAAACAGTTGTCATGGGTCTCCTTTAGGAAAGATGGCTGCTTTTAGTCAGATTAACAGAAGAATGAGTGTTGGATATTCTGGAGGTTCTCAGTCTCAAGATTCTTCCATGGCACAAGCGCAAGGACATGGGATGGACAATTTTTATCAAAATGAGGGGTACTCTGGACAATTCTCTGGTTCACCTTCACGGCGGCAATTGGATTCTGGTGTAAAAAACCGTACGCAGACACAAGGATGCACAACATTGAGTACGGGGTACTCTACTCATAACATTTCCAGCTCATCACATCGGTCCAATATGTGTAACCCTTCCAGTACTGGACCCCATACTGAAAATCCGGATGCTGCCTCATCAGTACCTGATCCGGGAGATTGGGACCCAAATTACAGGCAAGTAAACAAATTATTTTCTAATCTTACAGGTTATAGAATGTCAAGGTTCATTGTCTGCGAGTGTATGTTGTGTGCTTGAACAAATTTTCCAGGCTTATCTAGAATGCATGATGTTGTGCTCCCATATTGTCTTAAATTCCATCTTTATCCAACCAGGAATGTCACATTCCGTGATATATGTTCATGTTCTTGTTAACTAGTATTTGGGTTTCAATCTTGATAGACATATTTGTAGACATATTTGTGGACATATTTGTGGGCACCGAAACTTTTCAAAATGGGTCAGTGGAGTAACACTTAAAATGAATCACGTTAGTGTCTATATTTTCTGAATGGGCAATCATTCTATATTTTCTGAATGGGCAATCATTCTTTAACCTTCTGGCTGAATTGATATTTAACCAATTTTCATTCTGGTTTGCAGATGCATAAGATATTTTTTGTATGTCAAAATTCTGTTTTCATCTACATGTTTGCCCCAATCCTTCCTTCAATTGGAAATTTTAATATGCAAACTTTTATTACATGTACAGTGATGAATTGCTTCTTGAAGAAGATGGTGCGGACGAGAGTTCTCTTCCTAATGCATTCAATAGAGGTATGCAACTTAGTTCAACAGATGCCTCCAGTTTTTCCAGAAGGTTCAACAGTAATGCCTCGACCTCGTCCTCAAATCCGACAGCCCAAAGGTAACCTTAAAGACATCTTGTTGAAACTATGCTGAGCGCTTCTTTCTTTTGCTGTTGACCATAAAAGTTGGTGCGAGTTGGATCTTACATCTTCTATGGATATTATAACTTATCACGACTAACTATTTAATAGCTTGAGTATCAGAACTACGTTCAATTTGAATCAGAGATTTCCAACTAGAAAAGTCCCATATTGATGCCTCCTCTATTTGTGGTATTAGCTGTGTGCATATAGTCATCTTGATAGGACTTATATTCTATCAGAAAAGGTAGGCAGTGATCTCTGTTCAGGTAGTCTCTTATAGTATTAACGTATTTATGAACCGTCGCACAACATCTTGGTGGATGTTTATCTGAAACAACTAGGAAAAGTTAAAAGCCATTGTATATTCTACAACTCAGTTGATAGGCACCTGAACGTGTGTTGTAGACATGATGTATTGTTTTTCACTTGATATGTCCTCTTATAGGGAACTTTGAACTTTTATTTCTCTCTTGATGTAACTTTGAATCTATATCAGGAGATATGCTCCCAATCAAGGCTTCTCACAAGCAGAGATTGGCAGTCCGCCAAGTAATGATCCTTATGCCAGATTTGGTCAACATATGCAAGGAGCACAATTTACTCCTCATGTCTCCCAGAACTCTCCAAGTCGGTTAGGGCAGCAACCTCCTCAACGGTACATTCATGGGAGACCAAATGCTGGAAGAGCTGTGGATCGGAATCACATCAACGCTCAGCTTCCTCCTTCCAACACCAATTCTGGGGGTCAACAACGCTCACCCAGAAGTAGCTCATATACCAATGGGGTACAACCTTGGGGTACTTTCTTTAACTCATCTTAAGATCTCTGAACATTTGTTTACGGCCTCTGGTTGGGTGTCTTAGACTGGAACTTAAGCTCTATCCCATCTTGTAGGACGTAGGACTAACAATCATGTCCCGAATGTTCCATCGACGTCCCATGGAAGGATGGACTACGGAAGTATTGCTTAACTCCGCAGTCTTATCTCTCATTTATTTTGTTCTTTCCCTTGGTGTGCAATCTTCTTGTTGGAAGTGTGGGAACAAAGTTGTACTGAGACAAAGAAACAAACCTAGTTGGTTCATGGCTTGTGGGCTTCTGATCAGAACGTGCTTATTCATTGTGCTTTTTGCACAAATAAACCAAAAGAAAAAAAAAATGCAAAAGTATGTTATCAATTGATATTGTTATCTCTCGGAATTACTTATTGACATTTTCTGATGAATTTATATTCTGGGAAAGATGTTGAAGTTCATTACTCAGTAACCTTAAAAAATTGAGATCCTTCATCTCCGTAGATCTTGTTTTGTAGGTTCTGTGTCTTTCGAATTTCACTTTAAATATTAGTATAAGATATCCTTTGAAAAATCTCTTATGAAGCTGCAATACTCTTATAATCACACTTTGTTAAAAGAAGATAGTGTAGAAATTAGAATCAATAAACCTATATATGTTTCTTAGTTGAAAGGGAAGTACATTATAAAAAAAAATATTATTAAGGGTATGTAATTATATCCAAATGCCATTACAAATAATATATAGATTATACCTTTAGTAATGTATAATCAAATCCGATCGAGAAACATCGCGATAGTGACTATTCACATTATCTGGTTCGCTTTGGGTTGCTTGAACCCAACTTCAAACACGACGTTGGGTTCTTGGATTTGGCGGAAGTTCCTTAAACTTCATGGCGAAGTCCGGCCTTGGTTGGCGGTTAGCAACCTGTTTAATGACAAGGGCATGGATGCGTGCTTGGGACACAAACCAATCTTGTATCCTCTACGAAGAGATCGACGAAACATGGGAACATCCTTCTTTGCATGTCCTTATCCTTACACTACTCACTCATGATCATGTAACCACAAAGCAATGAAATTGACTTTGAAGAAACATAATTAGAGAAAAGTAGAGGATAAATCTCATGGAAATGTGTTAGTCTTGCTTAGTGTTCTATGGTCTAAGGATCATTCTTTGTTAGAAGTTGTTTGAGCCTCCATAACCCATCTCTTTGTCATTCTAGTCAATTGCCTTAACCCGAGAATTCGTCTTTTAATTATTGCTTAGTAATTTACTATTTCTCGCTTGTTTGATTTCGAAACTTGTTAGTCTTTTGGTATTTACTTTCTTTTGTCTTGCTTTGCATTATTTAGTTTGAATTGCATTGTTAGTCAAGTTTAGATAACCTAATCAAATATCTTATTAAGCTTAGATTAAGCAAATTTGTGTATTCTTGGTGTGTTAGTTAATTGCTCCTTGAGGTTCGATAATTTAATTGGTAAGCTACATCAATTTGGCGCCGTTTGTCTACAAAAGTAGGGAGGCTACTTCGAGATCGTCTAACTCATGACTGGCCTCACCAGGGATAGAAACAAGGCCATCTCCTACTACTGTGTTGTCAAGTACAATATATGCCATTTGGCGAGAGCAAAATGCATGCTCGCATTCACGGCAATGGGTACTTGCTAGCTCCATAGCTTGTCCGGAGTATGGAAAAACTAGTTCGAAGCCTAAACTCCGTTACTTGATGCAGTGTTGGTTAATGGTCAGGCCCTCTCACCGTTGACAGTATAATCGACAAGTTTACTCGTGTGTTATGGAATAACTACTCCGTTTTAAGTTTGTCCAAAAACTCTAAAGAAACCCTAAATAAAATGACTACTACGTAAAATGCCGTATTAGTTTAACTTCTAATTAAGGTTAGTACTGATATATAGCCCAAGAATGTAAATATAAAAACAGGTTGCATAAACACAAAAGAAACGATCATTCATCATTGAGCAGTTCAAAAGAAAAGCTAGTGTTTAAAGCTATACGATAACAATACTATCAAACACCCTATTTTATTCCAATGACAGAAATTAGAAAGGAAAGCCCCTCACTGACTTTTGCAATATCTTGATCCTCCAACATCGATGTCGGCAATTCGACTCCCGTGAACATGTAAAGCGCCTTCAATTCTTCCGAGTATGTCGTGCTCCTCGCAACACTATATCCAACTACCTTTCTTAATGCCTCAATCTTACTCCATATTTGTTCCTCGCTATACAATGCTTTCACCTTCACCCAAAAAATCTCAATTTAAGTAGCCAAACAAGAAATACCGAGAAATCAAAATACTCAATATAGTTAATGCATGATGACAATTAATATGTTGGTAAAGAAAAGGAAAACAAACAAGACAATCTCATTGTACCACAAGCTTCTTGAATTAGTTCTAATGTAATGTGTTATAGGAATGATCACACGGCACTTAGGGTTCATGCTTAAACACATTTCTTGAATTTGACACAGTTCTTGAGCTACTCATTTGAATTAGAGAGGCAAATTAAAGTGAAAAAACATTTGATTTCATTACTAGCTACTAGGTAGATATATGAGTTCAAGAAGCTCAGCTTATTACAGAGACGCCAAGGACACTTATGTTAGATGTCACTGTTGGATGGATAATCACTTAAGAGTGTCTACAAAATCAAATTTACATAAAACTTAATAATTAATTGTTTTTAGACACTTTTAATGGGTCTTTTAATGGGTGTCACCATTGAACATGCTCTTAAGAGCAGATTCTATAGAACTGACACTTGTCTAAGACACCCTACCAAAACACCCTTATTAAGACCGAATAATGAAAAGAACTCTCCAATTTAGTTTACTTGAGATCATAGCATCATCAAACCAAACAAGAATTCTTGGCAAGAGAGGACTGACCCATAAAAGCCCCTTACACTCTCCCCTGAAAGATCTATAGACACTAATGAAAATATAAAAGAGCAAGAAGGGGTTCAAACTTGGTACTGGCTGAAAGGTCACACCCCCAAACATAAGGGCATCAATAAGCCGCATGTAAAATGGAAACAAAGGTAGTCCACATAACAGAAACATGTCAACAAAAATGACACTGAATAACACCATAGCAAGTATATCAAAACTAGGATGAAGTATGGAAGTACAATATGATATATTCCATTAAGTTCACCAGTTAAAAGCATCTGTGATGCTATGTTTCATCCATAGGAAGAAAAGAAAATATACTAACCACAGTTGAAGAATTGTTCACATCCCCTCTAGATGGTTTAATTGTAGTTGACTCAAGTTCCCCTGCACAAACAAAAAAAGATTGGAGATCAATTCATAAGCTAGTTTCAAGCAATTCAACATTACTAGCTAAAACCTTACAGATGCAATTGTATATATAACTACCTTCATGTTTGGTCACAGAAACTTGCTTCTTTCCTAATAGATCTTCAAGTCGTGCTCTAACATTCTCTGACTTAGGAACTATCAACTGATCTTTGTCCTGATCATCTTCAAAACGTTTTCTAGATATTCCTCTATCAAGTGACTGATAAGTCCTACCCTCATCTCTAATACTCTCTAACCAGCTCCTTAACTCTTTTGTCATATCCTCATCTTCCCTATAAGCTATTGCAATAGTCCTCTCTTCCTCAATCTGAACAAGAATCGGCTCACTTATCGCAACTCGTCCTATACCTTCATCACCATGACCAATCTTGTTAGGAAGTATTATCATTTCATGATCACATCTTCCACCAAAAGCACTATCAGGAAGCAGTTTCCTCATCAGCTTTTCAAAACAAACATAGCTCGCCAAGAAAATGCAATAAGGAAGAGACGAGATCAAAGCCATTGTAAAGGCAACAACTAGTGCCGGAACGAGTAATGGTGCTGAAAACATTACAAAACATGTTGCAAGAACCTTCTTACACACACTAACCCCTTTCCTCCAAACCCAGCCCATCTTCCCATCTACTCTTGTCCCATGTTCCATCTGATCACACTGCATTGCACATAATTATTTTTATGTTTGTATAGTGAAAACACACAATACAAGTAATGAGCATGTAGAACCAAACCTGATTAGGCGATCAAAACGATGATAACAAGATATGACAATCAAAGAAGTAGAAAAAATTCACTAAAAGAACGAGAGATACCAGAGGGACACGTGGTAATATTTGGACAGCACGATAGAAAAATTAATGGCAAATGTGGGTTTTTGTGTTCTGTAGCTCTAACGTGTTTGTTCCTGTCTATATCCACTTGTTTTGACTTTCCCAGATCATGACGCATTAATAATGGTCGGTTCTGCAACTTTGAGTAAATGCAGGGATTGATGATAAGATTAAGAACATATCACTATGTATAATGTATAGTTTAATGTTAGAAACACCAAAAAAACTAAAAATAAAAAGACTCACTATCGCATCTACCGAAAAACCCTAAACAGACGACATTAATCATTCATCGGAAGTGGACAATTTCAGTGTAATGGGAATGTAACTAAAGTATATATCCGAAGTGGACTGCGAGTCCTTTTTTACTTTATTTGGGCCAAATAGTTATTTTCTTCTCAAGCCTTATTAAATCTAAACTTAGTTCATGTTAAGCTAGCAAGTCTTGAGCGTTCGGATATTCGGTTCAGTAATTTGATTTTTAGATTTTTTGGATCTTGAGAAATGATCGATTCGGTTCTTTTTCTCCAATCGATTTGGTTTCGGTTCGGTTATTTTTCTCATTGGCTTCAGTCTAGCTTTTTTTTCGGTTTTGGTTCGGTTTTAGATAATAAAAACAGAACCAGGAAAAAATCGAACTAATATCTGATATTGATCGGTTTGGTTACTTCATATCGGGAAAATCCGAGACATAACAAAAATATCCAAAAAAATTAGATGTAACCAAAAAATTTATAACAAATACACGAAACAACATCGATTTGCAGAGTTGAAAAATGCAAACGACAAGTACTTAAATAACAATAACAAAACCAAAGTTCAACTTGAACTAGAAAACATGAGATGAAGTTGTGCTGGGGCTTTCTTCCCTCGGTGGCTTCTTCAATCTACACAAATTGAATGATAAAGGTCAGAAAACATGAGATTATAAAGGTAAGGAAACAAGCCGTCTCAAGACCTCAAACCTGCAAGCACAAGTGTATGGCCAGAGCCTATATCTAGAGTTTCAAGACTATATTTATTGTCTAGGCGAAGTCAGCAATATTGTTTTTTTTTTATATATATACTTTACGGCTGATCCGGCTTTCCAACTAACGTCCGGGGTAATTAGATCATCTGTATTTATGAATTCTGATTATCAGGTAAACTAATTAGGCTTAAACACAACTAACAAACTTCCCACAAAGATGGTGTTAACACCAAACTGGAGAATTGAACCTAAGTTATGGGACTTGCACCCTACCACTCAAGCTGTCCTACCACTCGCTCACCACCTCTTGGGCCCATTAAAATTTTGTTTTTACGTTTAGGAATTTCCAAATCTAAATATATTTTTTTTTTTTGTCATCCAAATCTAAATATTTGTTATGCTGAATTTTGAATGATAGGAAGCGATTTTACATGTTAGGTATAGTTTCATTCTTTTATTTTAAATAAAATCCACTTCAACTTATACCGACTAAAATAGGAAAATACTTTCTCTGCTCAGCTCATCCAGTTCCTAGACCTGTTATTTCGCAACAAACTTCTCTCTTTGCAGCTCCACACCATCAAATTTGCTGTTGGCTAACAAATTTGGTTTGCCTCCCGATGCTAAACTATGTTCTTATTTCAATTTTATATTTGGTTTCTTTTTAAGCTTAATTTGAAATAAGGACACATTTATTGTAGAAAGGACAATTTTTTTGAGTTGAATATATTTTTACATTCATTCAAAAAAAAAAAAAAATTGGGAAAAACATGAGAATATTTCAGGAAAGTTTTGATAAAGCTAACAGAGTCTTGATGAAGTTAGCAAAACTTTGCATGTTTAGCACGACTATGATTTACCACGACCAAGACTTATCATGACTATGATTTGACACGGCTGAGAAGTAGTACAACTGTGTTTAAAGCGACCAGCCGACCACCATGGTGACTACATATAAATTAAAATACATAAAACAAAAATTAAAAATTTATTAATTATTATTAAAAATAATAATTATATATAGAGAATTTTTGAGAAATACATTTTTTGGTGTACCCCTTTTTAAAAATACCCCCTTTATTTATCCATTTTAAAAAATACCCCTTTTTAAATATAAAAAAATTATAAAGTGTTATATAGTTTATAAGGTACTTCTATATAATAACTACTAGTGGGAGATTCGATACAAATATTTTAAAATGTTTTAAATAGTTTTAAATCGTTTTTATAAGTTTTATAAGGTTTATAAAAGGTTTTTAAAAGGGTTTATACGGTTTTTATAAAGTTTTTATAAGGTTTTTATAATTTATTTTTACGCTATTTATGAAAGGTATATAAAGTTTTATACACATATAAAGGTAATTTGTGTATATATTTATAAGCTTACACACATATTTGGATAAATTTCAACATTTTTAGTGGGTTTTTTGATAAAGTTTGAAAATGGAGTATTTTTAAAAAGAAGTATATGAAAAGGGTATTTTTGAAATTCCCCCATATATATATGACTTAAATTTTTATTTAACAAATTAAATTCTAATACATTAAAAGTTGTCAAATGAGCAAGACTTAAATTTTTGTTTAACAATGTCAAATGAGCAAACATAACGAATAGTCGCTGAAACGAACAACATAATAAATCGCTGGTCATTGTCAATTTCGCTAGTGAATGGCAAACGAACAAGACTCTCAAGTATGCTCGTAATATATAGATACGTGCAGGTGAAGAAATTTAAGACTTGACCAGAAGAGGTTCAGGGCATGGTAGGTCTGATTAAATTCATGTCACTAGTTAGCAGTTAACACGGTGAGTGTGATATACATGTCCAAGACCAGAGCCGTGCAACAGTGAGGAAAAAGAAGCATTCGCTTATGGCATCCAATTTGAAAAAAATATTTAAGGACATATATGTATAACTTTCATATAATTTATTTCTAAGAAAATATGCATATATCAAATATATGTTTACATTACAACATCACCAAATTCACATCCGAAGCTGATAGATTGGGTTTTCGACTAAGTTGTGTATTATCATGGTCATGAGTTACCTGAACACACTAAGTTGATTTGTGTTCCGCCCAGGTTTAGTGATACGTTTAACTGAACTAGGGTTAAGTGTTGTAGCTTCCATGATCACCAAGAGTCTATTGGGTTGTTGTGTTGTATTGTCGTTCACATAATAAAAGTCACATTTGCATTTAATTTATTATAGGACACAAGAATGATTATTTGATTATTAAATAACGTTAATCAAAGTAATTAATGCTTATATTTGTTAGTTGTTGGTCGATGATGATAGTGCTAGGAGTAAAAGCTTAAGGTAGTTGTTAGTTGATGATTATGGTGATGTTGTTGCCTACATAAATATGAAACCACTGCTAAAGAAATGGACGCACTAGGGCACTACTTGTAAAAGCAAGAGCCACACGCAGTGGCGTACCTAGAATTTAATTTTGCCCAGGTCAAATAACTATAAAAATATGTAATTAAGCCATACTAAACTAGTTCCAAATGTATAAAATCCTATGAAACTAACCAAACAAATTAAGTTTAGAGAGGTCAGCTGACCTACCTTTGTAACACATAGGTCCGCCACTGGCCATACGGATTGAACTAGATTAGAACAAGGTTTCTCAAACTCTTCTTTGATATATAGAAAATTTGTTTACAATGTGTTTTTCCCTAAATAATTTTCTAGTCTCTCAAAAACTTCTTTCTAAGATCACACATTTGATCTTAGAAATTCTCAAAGAAACCATATGCACTTGATAAGCTCTTAACTTTCTAAGATCACACATTTGATATTAGAACCTCTCAAAGAAACCTTATGCACTTGATAAGCTGTTAACTATCTTTTCTCTCAAGCTAAACCTTATTGCAAGAATCTCTTTCTCTTAAATGTGTTGAGCTTTCTCAAGGCTCAGCTCCCTATTTATAGAACTGCTGAGACATCGCAATACAACATGCAATTCACATTCTTCTTCTAAATAGGTTTTAATTAGGATCGTTTCTTTTTTTCTTTATGGATTAGGAAACTATCCAATTCTTCTTGTTTTACTTTTATCCCTATAAAAGTAAAGTCTTCATGCTTCTAGACACTTTTTCTTTGTCTTGTGTCCATGTAAAACCGTCTTTTTCACTTTTCTTATTTGTTGTTCTTGTTTTGTTAAGTCTTCTGAACTAGTACACTTCGTTGTTCAGACTGCATCTTCACTACTGTCACTCTTGTCACTTAAAAATCTCACATAATTAAACAACAAATACATAAGTTTTTCTAAAATAAACCAACAATACAAAGAATAAACCAACACCAAATTTATTAAAAACTACTTAAACTAGAATGAGTTTGGTATACGCTTTATGTCATTGATTTTTCTTGACAGTGGACCGTAATCAAAAACACTTTTACTCACCCATACATCTATATATATATATATATATATATGAAATCATTGTAAACCGAACAAATCAAAACTAGTATAAGCCATAAACAAAATAAAATAAAAAAATTATGTATTGGACAATCATATTCATCTTCATTAGCTCCATACTTATTTTTCTCATATCCCTCCTTAGAAAACATTTCTCACACTTCTCGTATCAAAACCTTCCCCCGGGAAAGATTGGTTTCCCCTTAGTCGGAGAGAGCTTTTCTTTCCTCTCTGCGGGCCGTCAAGGCCATCCAGAGAAGTTTATTACCGACCGAGTTCGTCGCTTCTCCTCCACATCCTCCTCCTCCTCATGTGTCTTCAAGACACACCTCTTTGGTTCTCCCACCGCGGTGGTGACTGGTGCCTCTGGAAACAAGTTTCTTTTCACGAACGAGAACAAGCTCGTGGTTTCGTGGTGGCCAGATTCCGTTAATAAGATCTTCCCTTCTTCAACGCAGACTAGCTCCAAGGAAGAAGCCAAGAAGCTGAGGATGCTTCTTTCACAGTTCATGAAACCTGAGGCTTTGAGGAAGAACGTAGGTGTTATGGATGAGATTGCTCAAAGACATTTTGAGACTGAATGGGCCAATCAAGATCAACTCATTGTCGTCCCTCTCACCAAAACGTATGTAATAAGCTTCTCTCATTTTCCTAATATATTATAGTTTCACATCTTTACATTTTACAAAACGGTTTCATGACTTAACAAAATTCTCAATCAGGTTCACGTTTTCACTAGCATGCCGTTCGTTCCTTAGCATGGACGATCCCAAAAAAGTAAGGCAACTTGAAGAAAAATTCAATAAGGTAGCGGTAGGGGTCTTTTCAATCCCAATAGACTTACCGGGAACACGTTTTAACCAAGCCATTAAGGCGTCGAGGTTACTCAGAAAAGAGGTTTCCGCGATCATAAAGCAAAGGAAAGAAGAGATAAAAACAAAGATACCATTAGAGTTAAAAGACATATTAACTCATATGTTGATGAACATAGGAGAGACCAAAGACGAGGATTTGGCTGATAAGATTATTGGTTTGTTAATCGGAGGACACGACACAGCCAGTATTGTATGCACTTTCATTGTCAATTATCTAGCTGAATTCCCTCTTGTCTACCAACGTGTGCTACAAGGTACACATCTCCCTGCAACGACCCTTTAATATTTTGTTCTTTCCTTCATGATAGCTTCATCAATAATAAAACGAGACCTAACATATGACTCAATTTTGGGAACACATCTTATGACTTGTTTTGGGATACTTTTTTTTTGGTAATGACTTGTTTTGGGATACTTGAAATAAAATAAATACAATTGTAACTAAAATTGAACCTACAATACACATCAATCATCATACTGGTTTGTCCGGATTTATATATATTGAAATTAACACAACTCGAAATTTAAAATTTTGTGGTGGCTGTTGGATTTTATAGCTTAGTTTTAAGTTTACATTGGAAAAAAAATGTACTCACTAACATTATGGGATTGTAGAGCAAAAGGAGATACTAAAGGAAAAGAAAGAAAAAGAAGGATTAAGGTGGGAGGACATTGAGAAAATGAGATATTCATGGAATGTTGCATGTGAAGTGATGAGACTTGTACCTCCTCTTTCTGGCACTTTTCGTGAGGCCATCACTCACTTCTCCTTTAAGGGTTTTTACATTCCTAAAGGATGGAAGGTAAGTTTAAATTTATTTCATTTTTCATGCTTATATGCTGATGCATTTAATCATATATGTGCTAATAACACATAGTTATATTGGAGTGCGGCCACGACACATATGAATCCAGACTACTTCCTGGAACCAGAGAGATTTGACCCGAACCGATTTGAAGGAAGTGGTCCGAAGCCATATACCTATGTTCCATTTGGAGGAGGACCTAGGATGTGTCCAAGGAGAGAGTATGCTCGCCTAGAGATACTTATATTTATGCACAATCTTGTTAAAAGATTCAAGTGGGAAAAAGTGTTTCCTAAAGAGAATAAAATAGTGGTTGATCCCTTACCAATACCAAGTAAAGGTCTCCCTATTAGAATTTTTCCTCAATCTTGAGTCAAAATTTGAAACTTGAGGGATCAATGAGTGTATTGGTCTCATCATGCTTCATTATTAAAATTATTGTTGACTCATAGACAATAACTAAATAAAAATTCGCTTATGTTCTTCGCAGCCTAAAGTCTCTTATTGGTATTTACTTAGACCAACATTATCAATGGGATCTTATCTCATTCTTAGCTTAATATTTAGTATTTTTTATTTAATGTAAATGGTAAATGATGATTTAATAAGATCTAAAATTGTGGCTAAGATACGCATGTGTCAATGGACGACTGGTGGAAGGCTTTCTCTTTTTTTTTTTTTGTGTTATGCGTTCTTATTCAACATTTTTCTTTTAATTTCTTTCGAAAATCTATTTTTTTGTTTCATGCTTTAATATTTTAATTTAAAATATTAAAACATTGGAACTATTTGGGATCTTTTAATTTAATGTATTTTAGATTGTCTTAACTTTTTGTAAATGTTGTTCTTGTTATGCCAGTATCAACCTACCAATACCATCCAAGATAAAAAGTTTTTTTTTTTAAAAGGTAAAATCTAATTTGGTTTCTTAAGACTCTTGGAAGGTCTAATAAACATTTGACAAAAATTGTAAGATATGTTGTTTTTACTCATTCTCAAATATACAATTATAGAAGGATTTGGTCGAGTATATATGGACAAAATTTTCTAGAAATCAAGTTTAAAACTATTTTGCTTTATGTTATTTATGTTAAATTGTATCTCATATATGTTTTAAAATTATAAATTTGCAATAGTTAAAAAAGTTTATTTAATTTTTTAAAAATTATTTTTTCCTAAGATCTCCAACTTAAGATCCTACCAATAAAGACATCTCAAAACTAAAAACAAAAATACAACTCTTAACCTTTACTTTTTCAAATTTAATAATAAATTAATTTTAAGATAAAAAAATAAGATCTCATTGATGTTGCTCTTAAACCAACATTATCAGCAGCTTCTTAGAAATATCTTAGGCAATTTAACATTTAAATTAAATGCAAAAACTGGGTTTATTATAAAGATACAAAACAAAACCTAATATATACATATGTGGCAATTTATCTTGATACAACCGAGAATACAAGTGGCCTATTTAACTTAGAAATTGGACTTAATAATTGATGGGATGAGCCAGGCCCATGCAGTAGTGCAACGCATAGGCGACTCGCGAAAGCCCAGATAGCAAGCTATCTTAACGGGCTTTCTCCCTTAAAAAATAGAGTTAATATCGTATGGGCCGATGACCCATATATCAGATATTAAACTGATAAGAACAGATACTACACTTGATCTTAGCCAAAAGGCCGAGAAAGGTATGAATTGTTACGTCCCCTGGCCTCGTTATTTATACTACGTCTCTTGTCTTCCACTTTTAAGTTGCAAGCGATGTGGGACTTTAGAACAAACTTTTCAAACAAAACAGAGCAAAACAATAAACCCTCTGAGTCTTTTAGTGGGTTTGAACGAATCCTAATCAATAGTAGTGTTTAGACCTGAAGCCAAACAAAGCCATCAAAATGTCTGATAATTTCGGCACCAATTACTCCATAGGCCTAAAGATTGCATATCTTTTGTAAACTTCAATAGACCTCTCTGAAAATTCTCTGTCATTATATTTGCATCATGGAGTCATCCTCCTTATATTGTGAGGTAGCAAACAGGTGGGAGCATTGACAATGAGATTTCAGTAATACTCGACCCAGAGATAGTGTTTCAGTTGTCGTGTTTACTTTTGTGGGGGTGGAGACAGAGTCCAAAGCTGAGCTTGTTACCTATTACATTAGAGGGAGCTATTTCAGTGGAAAGAGTAGCCATTGCTAGTTGCCTAGTTCATTCGTACATACTCGTGTTATGTTAATTTTTTATATGCAGACAATTTTCTTCATATCGTGGTCGTTCTCTAGACAAAGTCGCGACTTGGTTTCTTCCATTTGTTTACCAACAACTTTGTCATCGATAAATAACTTTCAAAAGAATCTCGACTAGATGAAATCGTGATCAGTATATCACCGCGCCGAATAATCATATGAGCGAGTGATGAGAGAACACTATGCGCCACAAGGAGACATCTCTATAAGACTATTAAGTCTCAAAAGAGAGAACTAAGCACAGACAGAGAGATATAAACAGTAAGATACTCGTGTAACGTTATTAATTTTTGATACTCAGACAATTTTCTTCTTTCTTCATATCGTGATCGTTCTATAGACGAATGACTATTCCGAATCGCGACTTGGGATCTTCCATTTATTTACAAACAACTTTGTCATCGATAAATAGCTTTCAAGAATCTCGACTAGATAAAAACAAACCTTAAAACAGCAAATCTTGATCGGTATCACCCAAGAAGAAGGTCATAACCGAAGAATCATATAAGCCAGTCATGTGTGAACATTGTGTGCCACAACATCTCTATAAGTCTCAAAAAGAGAACAGAGGACATATACAGATAGATATAAACAGTAAAGATCATACCAAAACGAATCATTCCTTAGCTAACTTGTTGTTGAGAAACAAGAACAAGAAGCCCCTGAGGACCAACCAAAATCTCACTAAGAAAACTCAAAACCCCAAACCAAACAACAGGAGTAACATCAACACCAGCAAGAGGTGGAATCACTTTCCTTGTCTGAACAAGGATTGGTTCTGTCGGAGCATAAGCCAAAACGTAAGGAAACTTATCAACAGGAAGCTTCGGGTACCAAGACATAACAATCCTCAAGATGAATAAAAACCCAAAAGCTGATAAAGCTGGTCCTAAGATACCAATCGCCACCTTAGCTGTTCCTGGATCTAAATCTGCCAACAGAGTAACGTTACGCAACGAATCAGAAATCGAATTGGTTTCTTGAACTGTTGTTGTGTCTGCTTCTATGTTGTTGGTCAGTGATGCTGACACTAAGAGAAGAGACTTGGAGCGGTTTCTGAAATTGAGAAAGGGTCGTCGAGGTTTCGCCTGAGGGGAAAAAAAAAGAAAACTTGAAATTAATTTGGAGAGATTGGTTTGATTAATGAAGTGTTGGTGAATGAATCTCACTTACATGGAGCAGCGCCGGAGAGAAAGAGAGGAAGCCGGAGGGAACTGTAGTCATTGTGATGGATTCGAGCGTAAGGTTGAGAAGAGAGACAGCACTTTGTGTTCGGGAAGATAATCTGAGATAACGCGAGTGTGCTGACGTGGAATATGATTATCCCGATCAGTTTAAATATTTTGATACGAAAGTTGTAATTGGATATTTTAAAATTCGATTTATAATTAGGTTTGGATATAAATGGGGATATCAAGAATATCAAAGATATTTACTTAGATAGTTTTAGGACACCTTTTTGTTAAATCAACGTCTAAGATACCTTTGTTAAGGGTGGTCGGACAGCCTCATTGGGGTATTTCATTTGAGTATCTGTACAAATAAATAAATTAAAAAAATATTAAAAGTAAGAGAAAGAGGTGAGAATTGGTTTCTTAATTTCTCTTTTAGGAACTTTTTAAGTACATAATGAGAACCTCTTTACACCACTTATCTGTTTTTTATTGGTTTGTTTTCTTAAAAAACATTTAAATTTAAAAGGTTTAACAAAATTATATAAAATAACATTTATTTACAGGTAAGATCAGGAGCGGATACAGTAAGAGAAGTGTGGGGTCAGCTGACCCCACTAAAATTTTAAATTCATGTTATAATACTTATAATTTTACAATATTTGATATGTTTCTTTTGTTTTGACTTTTCTAAATTTGTGATTTTGCGTTTTGAACTCCTAAATTTTAAAATATGTGTTTTGAACTCTTTAAATTTATGTTATCTTTTCAATACTTTGTGATTTTTTTATTTTTTATATTGTGACACCATTACATACATGTTTTCATAGTTTTTTTTGTTTATTTGCCTCGTATATATTAAATTTATTTTGTGGTTTTATCTTTTTAGATATATATTAAAAAAATATTTTTAAAGGTTTAGTACTTACTTTTAATAATATTTTGACCCCGGTAAAAAAAAATCTGGATCCGCCACTGGATAAGATATCTATGTCGAGGTTATGACCGATGGAGCTGATCTAAGATCTTCTCATCTAGGATGGTCTACATAGTAAAGGTAGGTGGGTAATACAAAGTAGGTGTACATGATATTATTTTGTTGGAAAGTAGGCGTGGAGGCTAAATATTCATATTTATAAGTCTATCGATAACTTATACGTATATATATTCTCTAGCTCACATCTATGTCGTGACTCATGTATAGATATTTGCACACACATAGTTCAATTCAAGCATCACATCTCCAAGAAAATGGATTCTCTTGTGATAACAATTTCACTTGTTTTTGCAATTTTAGCTTCCCTTCTTGTAGAGTCATCAGCTCATAATCATAGTGATGATGGCTATACCCTCGCCACGGCAACACTAAATCCAATTGATGCTTGCTGGCGAAAAAACCCAAAATGGTCGACTAACCGTCAAGCATTAGCACATTGCGCGGTCGGGTTTGGGAAAGCTGCGTTAGGTGGCAAAGCCGGTGCCATATACGTGGTTACAAGCCCATTAGACGACCCTGTAAAACCTAAACCTGGAACCCTAAGATTTGGAGTGATCCAATCAAAACCTCTATGGATCACATTCGCACGTAGCATGGTGATAGTTTTGAAAGTCGAGCTCTCGGTGAACAGCTACAAGACGATTGATGGAAGAGGTGCAAAAGTTGAAATTGCTAATGGGCCATGCGTAAGGATGAGACTTGTGAAGCATGTCATTATACATGGGATAAGTATACATGATTGTAAACCTGGTCCAAAGGAAGGACCTGATGGTGACGCAATCCGAGTTTTTCAATCTTCACATATTTGGATCGATCATTGTTTCCTTTCTCGGAGTCAAGATGGTTTGATCGATGTGATTAGTTCTTCCACGGCTGTCACTATTTCTAATAACAAATTCACGAATCACGATAAAGTAAGTTTATTATATATTTTTACAAAACTGTAACGTCTACAAAAAAAAGTATCAAAATATATATTTGATGAGAAAACTTTGGTATGTTATTATGAAGGTTATATTACTCGGACATGATGACAAGTTTACGGGAGATAAGGTCATGAAAGTTACTGTTGCATTCAACTATTTCGGACCAGGTCTCATTGAGAGAATGCCTAGGTAATGATTATATATGATTAGTTTAAATTATATAACTAAACTAAATATTATAATAGATTTGTGATCTTGAATAACGTGGCAGGGTAAGGAGAGGGTACGCACATGTAGCAAATAATAGATACGATAAATGGAAAATGTATGCCATTGGTGGAAGTGCTGATCCAATTATCTTTAGTGAAGGAAACTATTTCGTTGCTCCCGACAACAAAAACGCTAAAGAGGTATATCTTCATGTTAAACATTATTCATGTGAGAATCCATGCATACGTGTCTTGTCCGAATACAACAACGTTGTGTGTGTATATAATAGAAAAAGAGCTCAGTGAGTATGCTCTGATACCATATTGAATATTCCGATTAACCGGAGAAGAAGAGAAATGACGGAGGAGAGACGAACACCTTAACGATCTAATAATTGTTTGTTACAAAGCTTAGATAGAAAGCATTCCAAACTACTACAGGCATTAGTCGGAAAGCATTCCAAACTCGGGATAGACATTGTGATGGCCTTTCGGGGAGAAGTCCACTTTAAAGCACTTCGGTGTGTTTCTACCGGGGCTAACCGGATCAGCAGATAGGGTTTATCAAAAAAAAAAAAAGCTTACGTAGAAAAATAACGTATACTCAAGCTTTATATCAGCTTGGTTACGACACTAAACCAGAAATTAATTCCAATTTCTGTTAACCGAAGTTAACCAGATTTAACATCCTAATATTGTAGGTGACAAAGAGAGTTGGTAGTGCAGCTGAGATTAAAAAATGGAAATGGGGTACTTCTAAAGACGTTTTCTTGAACGGAGCTTTCTTCGTGCCGTCCGGCGGACCAGCAGTCAAGCCGGCGTACGCAAAAGGAGAGGCGTTTCCGGTGGCTCCCGGCTCTCTCGTCCCTTCTCTTACCGCCTCCGCCGGTCCTCTCAATTGCGTCGTCGGCAAAATATGCTAATCAATTATACTCACCTCACTTATATTACAAGATATTCAACCAAATAGAAAGAAAGAAAAAAGTCACACTTCTTCATTAAACGAAATGTATGGCATAACATAATACTACATCATGTTATGTATACGATGGTAAAATATATTACTTTTGCAGAATTTTTTTTTAATTTATGTTTTAAAATATATTCTAGGAAAAAATGTTTATGAAATAAAATTTATGTATTTTTTTATTTTATTTGTAAAAACCTTAAGACATAAAGGAATAATATAGTCTTGGTTCTTTATAAAGGTAAAAGTTTTGTTTTTCAAGTGTTAAAGTGCCATTGAACTGTCTTCTCTCGTTAGAGTTTACCCTTTGTTTGTCTTCTATTTAATTCTTAATGTTATATTGTTATGATTCATTGGTGTGTGTTTTTTCTTTCTTTGGTGAAATGAGATGTGATGATTCATAATGTTTTAGCTTCTCATTGAACTTGGGAACTAGATCAATGGTTTTCTTATGGATACATGTGTCTATTGTTTTACATTTTTATTGTTTTTCAATAGAACATGCCAGTCTAACCCCTCACAAAATCTTCACGAAGAACTCAACACGTTATTCTTCTGTGGACCTAACATGGGCCTTTTAGGCCTCCTAAAACAGATCGTTCGACGGTTCACTATAAGGTTCCTTCCTTATATCGGCTTTGACACTTACAGAAAATATGAACAGAGAGATTGATATAACGACGACCACTCAGAGATCCTAAATAGGTTTGATCCAAAATTGGTGTATTAATTGGGAGGTACAACATAACAGTTCACGGTCTAAATCTCTTAATCATGCCTAACGTAGTTAACCTAACTATAAGTACATGTGTCTCAAAAAGTATATGAGTATTCATATATAATTATACTAGGTACTAACCCACGGTTTTACCGTGGGTTGAACACTTCATTTGATATAAATTTGAGAATTTATTTTATTATTATTTAATTGAATACTAGAGGATAATCCGTGCTACTGCACGGATGCCATTTAAAAAAAAAAAGTTAATATATATATATATACTAGCAGTTGATCCGCGCTGCGCGCGGGAGGTTTATAATTTTTTTGTTAATTTTTTATTTATATTGTGATATTTTATTTATTTTTTAATTGATTTTCAAAACATATTATAGTTATTTTATCTTGAATTATTATGTTTTAATATTTAAATTTGGATTAAAAGCAATTTCTTATTGATCATGTTATAAACTAATATTTCAGTTTCAATTTTATTTTTTCCCTTTAAAATTTTATATATACAATTACATAAATGTTGTTTTTATTCTACCATAAATTTAAAATTTACTTACATTCTTAAACTCAATAACACATATAAAATTTTAAACTATGATCAATTTAAAATGAAAGTTGAATTATATTAATACCACTAACTAATAAAAAATGAAAGTATTTCTTATTTAAAATTTCATTTATTTACATAATTTATTTTTATTTATATAAATTTTCTATTAATTAAATAAGTAGCATAAATATGCACTAAATGAATGTTTTAAATTTATTTTAATGTAAAAAAATGTGGCTTAAGTGGATGCTTAGGTGGCATCATGAGAAGAGAGAAAAAGCTAACTTTATATATATAGATATATATATTATAATTGTATATATTTTAAAAATGTTACTTGAGATTGTGTTTATTTTTTTATGTTGTAAGTGTTTGGTAAATCAGATGTTTTCACTTGTGAACTGGGTTTAACTGGATAATATGCGACAAGAAACTGGGTACTTTTCCGGTTTAGGATTAGTGTAAATAACTGGTAATCTTATGACTGAAAACAACCATCAAAACTGTCGTTAACCCGCGACCATATGAATCAATTGAACGACGAGATTTTAGAAGTTATAGCATTTTTATTCTTTCTTAAACGATAATACATAGCATTAAAATTGGTTACCATAAAATCTTGATGTATTATTAGTGTTCTTTTTGTTTTATTTGAATGTTAAAAACTTAAACAATTGGTTATTATTTTTTTTTTTTTAGTAAATTATTATTATTGTTAGACTACATATTTTGTTTAACATAATATGGTTATTTAAAAAAAATATCTATTTATAAAACTGCAAAATTTATATAAAATAAATAAAACTTTTAATCAATTGATTGTGGTCAAACCTGGTTAGCCTGAGAATGACGGTTTTGGTATAATGAGTTTTTAGGAGAATCTCAATTACTATGTGCATTGGATTCACCTTGTGCTTTGTTTACTGTGCAATTATTATATTGGAAAAAGTTAGACCATGTTCAATGATAATACTTTCAATGGATGTCTAAAAAAAATAATTTAATTTTTTAAACAAATGGCTGACTAAAATAGGTGTCTAAACTCATAAAAGTGTCTTAAATAAATCACATTAGACAAATTAGTGTCTAAAATTGGATCTCAAAATCAATTAATTAAATTTTTTTTACTTTTTAAGATCCACCTTAAGACACCCCAAATATCACCATTGTACATGTCCTTAAAGGCTATATTATTATACTAGAATTTACCCCGTGGTACACCACGGGTCCACGGGTCCATTATTATTATTTTTCTACTTTTATAAATCGGTTTAATGAATTAGTATATTGAATTGAATGTGTTTCTTTGTAGTTAATAGAAATGTTACGTTGTTATATACACTACAAGAAAACACGTCGATTTCCTACAAAAATATTGGTAGGCAGAATTTCCAATGATGAAAATGGAAAGTTGTAGGAAAAAAGAAGAGAATTTAACTACGAGAAAATTTGTCAGAAATTGGTAGGATTTTTTCCTACCAAATTCTTTTAAATAATAGTTTTGTAGGAATGGCGAATGAAATGAGAAGGAAAGTGGAAGGAAAAGGCGCGAAGGAAACTGGAAGGAATTTTTCCTACGAAATGCCTTCGACAATGAGGTGGAAGGAAATGTCATAGGAAATCGGTAGATATATGGAGGGAAATAAATAGGTAGAAAATCTAAAGGAAATTATTTATAGGAACTTATAAGGAAATTGGAAAGAAAATATTTGTAGGAAATTTGCAGGTTACTTTTCGGTGCTAGCAAGTTGATAATCTAGTGGGATGGGTAAGTTAATAATGCAATGCAAGTTGAGAAATTAGTGCGTAAGTTAATAATGCAATGCAAGTTGAGAAATAAGTGTGAAAATGTGTAAGAAACAGATATTTTTGTACCTATATAAAGACTCGAAGGTTTGTTATGATAATCACACAATCTCTCAATTTCACCTCTCTCTATCATACATCTCTCTTACGAGTTACGAGTGCATAATCGTTTGAATTAAATATTTAGTATTTCCTACCAAAATCTATTTGAAGGAATGCTGGAAGGAATATTAGTGGGAAACTGGAGGGAAACGTTTCGTAGGAATTTAGAAGGAAACAAATTTTCGTAGGAAAAGAAAGGGAAATATTTTGTAGAAAATTAGAAGGAAAAAGTTTCCTACGCGTTTTGGAAGGAAAAAGGTCAAAAATACCCTTCCTCTTTCCTTCGATACCTACAAATTTTCCTTCCGCGCGTTTTTGGTAGGAATTCTTATCAATATCTCACCACCTACGAATTCATACAGGCAATTTTCTACCATTTTTCTCGTATGAATAATGAAAGAAACGGCTGTTTCCTACCATTTTTTTACGCAAATGCTGTAGGAAATCGAGGTTTTTTGTTGTAGTTTCTAAATTTTAATCTATCTATGCGGTTGGTTATTTATTTCTATATGTACGTGTATTTTTAAGATTGTGTAATATATGATAACATTTAGGATTTACCTTGTGATACATGACTATTTTTCTTATTTATTTTAGTATATATATTTTTATGATTTTGTATTATATTTGTAAATTGAGTTTCTTTTATTTTTAATATACACATAAATTGTTTTTTTCCCCGAGCAAAATGTTACATTGATGTATGAGATGGATAAATCTATATATATAAAGTTAGCCTTTCTCTCTTCTCATGATACCACCTAAACATCCACCTAAGCCACATTTTTGTTTTTATATTAAAATAAATTTAAAACATTCATTTAATGCGTATTTGTGTTACTTATTTAATTACTAGAAAGTTTATAAATAAAAATAAATTATGTAAAATAAATGAAATGTTAAAATAAGAATAAAAATACTTATAATTATTTTAATTAGTGGTAATAATATAATAAAACAACATTTATGTAATTGTATATATAAAATTTTAAAGAGGAAAAATAAAACAGAAAGTGAAATATTAGTTTATAACATGATCAAAAAGAAAATAAAATGATATTTCATATATAAAGTTAGCTTTTCTCTCTTCTCATGATGCCACCGAAGCATCCATCTTAGAAACATTTTTATTTTTCCACTAAAATAATTTTAAAATGTGTATTTAATGCATATTTATGTTACTTATAAGTAATAGAAAGTTTATATAAATTAAAAATAAATTATAAAAATTAAATGAAATGTTAAAATAAGAAAAACAATATTATCATTTTTATTAGTGGTAATAATATAATTCAACTTTAATTTAAAACTAATTATAGTTTAAAATTTTAAATGTGTTACTGGATTTTAGAATGAGAGTAAATTTTAAATTCATGGTAGAATAAAACAAAAATTTTAAATTCATGGTAGAATAAAAAAAAATTTCTGTAATTGTATATATAAAATTTTAAACATGAAAAATAAAATTAAAAGTGAAATATTAGTTTATAACATGATGAGAAAGAAAAAAAATTGATATTTCATAAATTGAATCAAATGTTTTTAATCCATATTTGAGTATTGAAAGATAGTCGTCATTGAAGAGAAAATAGTTATAATATGTTTTGAAAATCAGTATAGTCTAATATATGTTAAATGTGAGCCAATAGAAAGTGACAATAAAGTAGATGTCTAAAGGCAATGAGTGCATAGTAGATAATGACGAAAGAACTGTAGTCTAACGTGTTTAAAATAAATTACTAAAACTTGAGAAGATAATAATACA